ACTAAACTCGTTATTGTATTAAATGTTCTATCTGTGCTAGGCCAACCTGTCTTTCGTGCTAAATGGCTCCTGAAATAGATTCAAGAAATGCATTGCCTGCATGCCCAGGGAGCTTATCAGCCTGGGAGAAAGGTGCAAGTATCACTTTGGGAGAGACAGATCTCTATAATTCTTGTGAACTTAATAAATCTATTTCTGTCGGAGAGCGAACACCGGACATCCTATCCTTCACCAGTCACGTCATTGACTGAACTATATCGGCTCATTTTCTAAATAAATTAAATGGAATTATATTTCTGGACGGAAGCTTATATTTCAACTAATTCCGAACATTTATCTTTCAAATTAAATGAAAAATACTAGTTCATATTCATGCAGGAAATCAGAAGCTGTTTTGGAGGTGGTGATATTTGTATTTCACGAAATCTAAAAAGGGGGCATAGAGTAAAATCTATGATGTGCCCCATATCCACAATTATTAATAAAAATGCAACATTATTATTATTATTATTATTATTATCATTGATTCTTAATTAAATATTAATGTTTCATTCCTCTATTCGTAATAGCACTTAGTTTAATGATAATGGAATTATTATTACTGTTATAATTATCACTTATTTGTTTGTTTACTTTTACTTTTTTTTATTATTATTTCTTCCAATTACTTAACTGTAATTTGTATTTGACTTTTAATAAGTTTGTATGTAATGTAATTCAGTCATCTACACTGTGCTGAGTCTGTAATTGGCCTTGCGGCTGTTGACTCGGCACATTAATAATAAAGAATTGAATTGAATTGAATTATTATTATTATAGCTCTACAGCCCTTTGTTGGCCCTTGGCCACTTTTTCAGTTTCTTGATCCTATATATAGTCTGTAAGACTCCTTGGACGGGGATCAGCCCTTCGCAAAGCCTCTCTACCTACACACAGAACACAAACACAGAATAAACGTACACAGTACAGACATTCGTGCCTTGAGTGGAATTCGAATCCACGATCTCAGAGTTCGAGCAAGCGAAGACAGTTCATGCTTTATACTACGCGACCCCTCCGATCGGCAATAAAATGCAACAGATATGTAGAAATTGCCGAAATGAGAAATTCATGAAAATCATGTAATCTATGTGGAAATGCTTATCGAACTTTCAACATAACGCATAATGTTTGTAATGGAAACGGACTTATACACGTGATAAATACTTAACATAACATCGAAGTTCACAGACACTGCATACATTACACTACCTGGACTGAACAACGATCTCAGTGGTGAAAAAAACATGGCGTCTAAGCATAACAATCGATTTGATTCTGTTGTGTTTTCATACTCTTCCTACTTAACACGAAGTTTCTCTCTATAAAAGGAAGCTAACCCGTTACATTTATAGAAATGAAACCGTAAATAAGTGATATAAGGTATTACTCCCATGAAATGTGATTTCTTTCAGTTCTCATAACGATTAATTTCCCTTCGCCTCTCTCATACAAATTACAATTTTCCGTTTAAAAACGCTGACGACTTAACAGCTGAGCACGCCTCTTTTTTCGCTACGATAATAAAAGTCGCGCTTCACGTTTTAGCGTGAGCGACGTCATTACTGTGTTTCTATGCACTCATGGAGCTGAGCCCTTCTTGAGAAGCTGCAAATTGTGCAGCTACTGAAGAATTTCCAACATTTTATGGAACCAGAAGGTTCATTACATTGCCCACTGGTCCCTATTCTGATCCAGATCAATCCGATCCATACCATCCAATTCTATCTCTCTAAAATCCATTTTAATATTGTCCACTCGCCTACGTCTTGGTCTTCTCAGTGGTCTCTTTCCTTCCGGCTTTCCCACCAATATCCTATATGCATTCTTACTCTCACCATTCGTGCTACATGCTCTGCCTATCTCATGCTCCTTGACTTGCTCATTCTAATTATATTTGGAGAAGAGCGCAAGTTAAATATAATTGATTTTCATACTCACAATGGAGAAAGAAAGTTTATAACAAGCAGAAAACATTTATGATCCGCGAATTTTTCCTACATTGGCAGCATGAAAAATAGTAAGAATCTTGCCTCATGGAGCCTCTACTTAGAATATTAATCTGACAATTAAGTCAAATACGACAGCGGTTTAGTTGTTCACTTCGAATATACACTTCTGGTTGAAACCAGATATTACTTTTAAATCTGAATGTTATGGATTACATTTTAAGAGCTCCATTAAATGAAGAAATCATTAGATTGAGTGACATAGATCAGCTCGATTAACTACACATAAATGTGAGTAGTCCTGTTAACCCCTAGATCTATAATAATATTAATGTCAGAGTACCTACAGAAACTTATCTTCTGGCAGTAGGCGTGTGTAAGAGTCAAAATAAAATTATAAAGAGCATAAATGCTTACATTCCTAAGTACATTATAATAATCACTACGTAACATTAAAAATTTAAAGCAGAATTTTTAAAGGAATTGTTTAATTTAAATTTCATATTCATCGCTCTCTGTAAAACATGAATGATCAAATTATTCCAAACACTGAACCCACAGATCTTGTGATATGTTTTACACTAATACAAATATACTCGTATGTAAATCCGTTTCATAAATCAGGAACGTTAACAATTAATGCATATTTGAGATAACGTATTGAGTTATACTGAACAACGGCATTAGAGAACACTTTACGTTTATAGCCCATGTGACTATTTTTTATTTAATTGCTGAAAATCACTTGAACTTTAAAGATCGATTCGTATATAGTCTCAGTTACAAACAGCGACGTTAAATAAACTACGAATAAATACATAAAAAATGTCGAGGAAGTCGAACTGACGGCCTAGTTTCAGCGCTACACTTACTTGTGCTGTCATCTACAGAACTGTTGACACACTACTTACGTGCATCTCCATGTTCAGCGCCTAGATTAAAAGAACGTGTAACAATGAAGACAAGTCACCCGTTTCATAGCTTTATATCTCGTAGGTGAAATCCAACCACGTCCTTGGACACCAATGGAAATACCAGAGAAAGCAGGAGGGATAAAGAATGTGCAAAAACCGATTCTATTGTCATAGACCTAAACAGTTCGAACGATACGTCCCAAAATTCTTGTACTGAGTGGGGAAACATTTGTTCAGGTGGTTCTTACATTCTCTCAAGAGTAGAATGACATGCACAATGAAACCTGAATATATGGCAATATGCCTGCAAAATATGTCAAATATGTCGGAAAAAAAAAAGTTGGAAAAGGAAACTATTGTTGCAAAATATGGAAAATGAATAATTTCTTTTTTCGTTTCCATTTCATAGAACAAGACACGAAATTCTTCTGGTCGAGGTGTAGAAACATACAGTCATTCCAAGTCTACTGTCTCGGAGCAGTTGAAGGCACACATCTAGAGTTCGAATCCTGCTCGAGGCATGCATGATTGTCCATTTGTTTGTGTGTTGTATGCCTTAAGATGAGCTGATCTCCCATTTAAGAAGATCAGCCACGCATACAAAGCAATTCTTAGGTCCCAACAGGTTATATGAGATAGCTAACTCGAAGGACACTCCTTTTGCAAAGCCGATGGTCACTTCACTGATCAAAACATCCGCAGCCATTTATGAAGTCTTAAGGTTTTCTGCAGTAAGTTCATGCCACTGGACCCCATCCAATGATTCCGTCTAAAATCGACACCCATGTAACACTTCGTAAGATGCTGCTATTTTTACTTGAGCTTGCAAGGGGAGTTTTCCGCCTTAAGACTGCCCCTTGTAGGCTGTCGCGAGTACCTAGGCCTAAACCATATAAGGACAACAAGTAAACCCGAAATATCAACAACAGGGATCGGCCTGTCACGTGGCCTGTCATCAGTATCGTTTAAATCGAATATGTGTTACAGTCTTACTCAGGTCATTCGTGTATGCGTGTGTGTGTGTGTGGGGGAGGGGGATGGAGGTTACTCGTAATATTGTCGCACTTATCTTCATAAAATTCCAGAGGTGCCTTTCTCCCTTGGTCTATTCCCGGTTCAGGTTACTTCAGTTTGGCCAAGCTGCTTTGTCACAAAATGCTTTGCTAGCAGGCGCACTGCCCGTCAGCGCAAAGACTCTCAGGAGTGGTTGCACGGTACCTGGATCAAGCTCTGGAGAGTACTACTGTTTGTTTAAATGTGATGTCTGCAGTCACTCTGTTAATATTACAATGATGATTACCTACCTACATATCTACCTACCATCCGGCACTACAGCCCTGGGTGAGCCTTGTCCTCTTCTACAGCCAGTCCTCACAACCAATGCGTGCTGCCATAGGAATGGATCCACGCATGGTGACCCGAGGCTGGTTGTTAGGTTTCTGAACAAAATTCTTTTTACAGGATGAGGCTGTTAGCCTCATGCACAACCTCCAACCTGGAAGACCAGGGCATCTCTCTTACCTTTGACCTTACCGGCATGGGTGACCTACCGGCAGTTAAACTACCGCCGGCATAGCTCTCCACGTCATAGAATCACGCAAACCCCACCACCACAAGGTGGAGACACCACTGGGGGACAATGATGATTACTCTTAACTAACCACAAGGACAGTGAAACTTTGTATTTTATTTCTGAAGAATAATCAGTGCGCACTCCTAGAAGACACATTCCTCTCTCTTAGATAAATTAGTCCAAGTTTGCAAGTTTAACTCTCGTGGGGTGGAGGAAAACAATTTTCTTGGTGGATTATTGTTAAAACTTAAAGATTTCAATCAAAATTCTGGCGTAAATGGATCTGTGCTTTTATCAGTTTTTCCTTTATTGTGAAGTTCATGCAGAGTTGTGCCCAACCACAGTGTCGAACTGAAGACGGAACACGGTCCAGGACATGGACCCATCGGACCTCGAAGTTTTTACGCTATCGCGCCCATCGCGCCCGTTACTGTGATCCCCCCTATATCCACTCTCCCCTCGGTCGCGGAATTCCACAAATTTCTTTGTTCAGCCCCGCCACGCCAGATGGCTCCTCCGCCGCTGGTAATAATAATACGAAGTGTTGTGGATGTTTGGTGAAGATTTTGCCAGGGACGTTTTGCGTAAGACGTTAAATTGTGTTGAACTTTTGAATTTGTGTTGCCCTCTCTATGAAGATAAATGTGATGGAAAGTTAGACCTACAGAAACCTTCCCTGAAGTTCTACCCCACTGTACCCTTAACGCGCAGGTGATTAATGTATAAGATTACGCAACCGGTGCTTCCAGGCGGTGCAATAAACCAGAAATCCACAATCTGGACCACATCAGAACGTCGTGTTTTAATTAAATCTGCAAATAGATGGCGCACAAACTGAGGCTGGTTCCGTAGTCATCCCGACCAAATATCAGTGACCCATAAACCTGACATCTACTTAAAATTTTAAAGGCAATTGTGCTGGTATGTCATTTAGCTTCATGTTGTCATGGCAACGACGTACATAACAACAGTGTGCACAGGGTAAATATGGCAAACCACGTTAGTTTTCCATGTTTGGCAGGTATCATCTATGATTTCTTTTATGTATTCATGTATATAACTTAGACATTTAGTAGTGATGTGCAGTACTGTTAACGGTTGTTAAACGAGACAAATGTAGTTCACATTTTGCCTACATGGATTTCTTCCTTGTATCTCCTGAAATGAGTGTTGATGTAAATGACAGCCAGAAGTATGAAGAAAGTAGCCCTTACAGAGGCTTTGGTAGTGCTAACAGCTATGTAAATGCAAAAAGCATGTACAGTGATATACGTGAAAGCAATTTCCATTATACTGCGCTTGATATTGACAAACTTAGAATTGGGGATGAAGAAATTCTACAAAAAGCAGTTTGTGGAATTCAGGACCCGCACAGTAACACCAAGAGCCCAGGGGAATTGTTAGCATCGAATATAAGTTCACCAAAGCCAAGGTATGTTTTCATACTTCACATGATTTATGCTGCATTTGAAATACAGCATGTTTTTGCTGTAATCTCACTTGTGATGCTGTGCTACTCAGGTTGCATAGTGTTCATGAAAGAAACTCTATGTTCTCTAGGAAGAGATCAGTCAGTAGCATATCTATGACCCCAAGAAGAAATAAATCACCAGAGGAATCTGCAAAGAAAGGGTACTCAAGTTTTCAGCGCAGCTTAAAGCTACTTGGTCTACAACCAGAAGACTTCGGCATTAACAATAAAATCAACATTTCCGGTTCTCATGCACCATCTTACAGGTATTATGAGTAAATAAACATGTACATCATTTTCCAGTGTAAGTATATATTTATGTTTATAACAATGAAACATTTTATTTCAGGGTGGGACCAACTTTTCATACTCGTCTTACAAAACGAAGTTCCTCTCTTGAAAATCTGAGGTCTGCAGCACTAAGTCATATGGCTGATGGTCAAAGCACACCTGGAGGTGCGTTCTTGCAGTAAATAATATTAGAGGGAACATTCAGTAAATTAATTTCAAGTTTTCATCCAAGTTAGCTTCATATTACTCGTATTACCCATGGAAATGGGTTTATAATCACTGTGACATCTCATTCATTTTTTTTTAATAATATATTTAAGTATTTATGTATTCTTTGATTATGTTAGGTGTGAGTGTTATTAAATCTGTATATTCCCTTTGACTTTATCCGATTGTATATTTTACAGTTATGGATGTAAATAAAATTATGAATTATGAAATTATTATAATCTACAGCTGACACAGTGCCACCAGAGTATGAAGTCAGTGATGAATTGTGATGGTTCAGGCCTGCTGCTATGGCTCTAGACTAAATTGACCATTGACTTAATGAGATTTGCAGAATATTGTTAAAGATTAACAATCTGTCATCATGTTTGTAATAAAAGGTTACAGATGAATGATTGTGAAATTGTTGTAAATTGATGTACTGATGCTCAAATGTTGATGGTGATAATAGTTCACTTAATTTAATATATTGTGACTGATAGGTTTACTGTTGTAGAACACCTAGATCGTAGAATTCTATCCAATGCTGTTTATGAAGAATGGTATTTCCAGAAGCTGGAGGAGGCACGCAGAAAAAAGAAGGCTCAAGAACTTAATGACCAGAAGAAGGAAGAACACATTGAAAAGGTACAAAACTCGCATTCAGGACGTATGCACTTCAAGTTCCAGCTGAACTTTGCCAATTCCAATATAGAATTTTGTAGTTTCCTTCCAGGAAGAATGATTCATGACCATTTTCTCTTACATCATTCCATATTCAGCATTCATAATTACCTGGCCATAACTTATTAGAGGATACATAAACTCAGAATTGAATTGAATTGAATTTATTTACATTCTATAAATTCTAAGTAGGTTAGTACCTTTGGATACAGAACAAGTCAAAAGGTTACATACATAAGTACAGGCAATTTTAGCTTAAAAATTAATATAACTTAATTTTACATCATTCTCTATATACATTGAAGTATTCATCTAAAGAGTAGAAGGAATGAGCATGTAGATAATTCTTTAACTCTGATTTAAACTTTTTAGTATCATTGCCCAAGTTTTTAATACTTTGTGGCAGATTGTTGAACACTTTTATGCCAGTAAAGTAGACTCCTTTTTGATATACTGATAAAGTTGATGAGGGTAGGTGGAAGTTATATTTTTGTCTAGTATTCATGTTATAGACATCAGAATTTAATTTGAATTTATCTTTGTTGTAAACAACAAATAAGAGAAGCGATAATATGTATTGCGATTGAAGAGGTAGAATTTTTAATTTCTTAAATAATTCTCTACATGAATCTCTACTTCTACATCCTGTAATGATTCTAATTATATTCTTTTGTATTTTAAAAATTATTACACTATGTGAAGAGTTCCCCCAAAATATTAATCCATAGTTCATAATAGAATGAAAGTAGGCATGGTAAACCATCTTCAATGTTTCCTGTGACATAAAAGGCTTAATTGATCTCATCGCATAGCAAGCTGCATTTAATTTAGGTATAATTTGTTCAATATGTATTTTCCAAGACAGTGTACTGTCTACATGTATTCCAAGGAATTTTGTATCAAGTACTTTACAGATTAATTTGTTGGCATAACTGATGTCCAGATCAATTTGGTGGTTGTTTTTAGTTGTGAATGATATGTAATGGGTTTTATCAAAATTTAATGAGAGTAAATTGGCTTCGAACCATCTGTTTAAGGCTTCAAATACAATATTTATGTCATTTTTAAAGTTTTCAAATTTAGAGTTCTTAAATATTATACTAGTGTCATCTGCATATAGAATTGGTTTAGATTTATTGTTGATGGTTTTAGATAGATCATTTATGTAGAGAAGAAAAAGTAAGGGACCTAAAATTGATCCTTGTGGAACACCGTGCTTTATAATTCCCCAGTTTGAAAATGCATTATGACTGGAGTTTTTATTATTTATTTCAACTCTTTGATACCTGTTTTTGAGGTATGATTTGATCCATTCATTAGCTTTGCCAGTTATTCCATAGAAATTTAATTTCGATAGTAAGATATCATGATTAACACAATCGAAAGCTTTTGCTAGATCACAGAAAATCCCTCCCACAATTAATCTGTCATTGAGAGCACTTAAAATATCGTTAGTTAGTTCATAGGTTGCTTTTTCTGTTGTTAGGTCTTTCCTAAATCCAAATTGCTCTTTGACTAATATGTTGTTAGAATTTAAGTGTTCAAGTAGTCTATTATACATAACTTTTTCAAAGACTTTTGAGAATGAAGTCAATATGGATATTGGTCTGTAATTAGAGATGCATTTTCTCTCTCCTTTTTTAAAAAGTGGTTTCATTACAGCGTATTTTAAGCGTTGAGGAAAAGTACCTGATGATAAAGATTTATTACATAGATGATTCAAGGGTGAACTGATGTAAACAGAGCTTGCTTTAAGTAATTTGGTAGAGATTTCATCATATCCATGTGAATTTTTGGGCTTAAGGGATTTAATAATGATTTCAATTTCCTTCCTTGTTGAGAATTTGAGATTTATATTTGGAAATGAATTGTTAAAGGCACGTGACAGATACTATATTGGATTATTATATTATTATTGGAATATGTTTTCTCAGCTAATGAAAGGAAATATTCATTAAATGCACTTGCGATAGCTTGTGGATTGTTAGTGGACTTCCCTTCAATATTCAAACTTTGTACGTCTTCATTAACAGATTTCTTTCCTGATTCAACTTTCACAATATCCCAGGTGGTTTTAATTTTATTGTTTGATTTTAGAATTTGGCTGTTATAGTTATTCTGTTTGGCTTCTTTAATGACTTTTGACAAAATTTTACAGTACATTTTGTAGTGACTTTTTAGTCTTGGATCATTACTGTCCCTACTGGCCAAATATAGTTGTCTTTTGTGTTTACATGAAGTTTTTATTCCAATTGTTATCCAGGTGGATTTGTTTTTATTTTCATTTTTGACTATTATTAAGGGAAAGCTTGAATAAAAGATCCTCAAGTATGTGTTCAGAAAGCAATTAAATTTAGAATCAGTATTATTGCTGTCAAATACATTGTTCCATGATTCATTACTTAATTTTGTGACAAAATCTGCCATCATATGCTTGTTGATTTTCCTTACTGTTTGATATTGTTGATTACTGGACTGAAGGTCAGTATTATTTATTTCTATGAGTTGAAGCACCATTGGAAAGTAACAAAATACCCAACAAATGTAGAAGACCAATTGTTATCAGTCCTTTTTTAATAGTTCTATGCTATGATTTATATGGAGAAGATGTTGATAGGAATTCTGAGACTCATTCAAACATTTTCCTATTGCTTTCATGGACATGGCCACACTCTGGAATGATTACAGATGATTATCAGGTGATTTCGGTCATAACTGTCATTCAATGAGTCTAGAACATTCAAGAAGTTGAATCTTTCCCTTGAACAAGGTGTGTGTGCAGGCTAGGTGATGCAGTCCACCATGCTCCTCACTCGTGTGACAGTATCTATGTCGGGACATGGACCTCATTCGCACCTGTGGAGTTTGATGGATTTCATTCATATTCAGTATTAAAGAGTTTATCTGCTGTAGGTTGGTGCTTGGTGAATTTGAACATTCTAGCTGCAAAACTGGATCATTCAAATGTGGCTAAAAACATAAAATGGTGATTTTTTTTTCAAAAACATATACAGAAATTTTGATTAAATTTCAATATTTTATGGATACTACATCCCTCAGTAAAACTGTACAAGTTGTATCTTCAGGAAAATAATACTATGAACAGTAGGGATCCAAAGGTGACATGTCAGTTTTCTTGGAACCAGATATAACAGCCAGACAGGTTTTACTGCTGTTCAGTATTCAGCATCCAACAATGGTCTGCAAGCAACAGTTGATTTCAGAGGTAATGTAGTGAAGAACTGTCATGTAGAATGAAGTATATGTAGTGTCTTTGCATCAATTTCTTGTATATATAAAAGAATTATTCATTAAATACAATTCACAACTCTTGCATGCACACATTGGTGATATAGGGGATCACTGGTAGCATGGATGCTACCCCTCAAAATTTTTGGTGAGGTTAATTTTTTAAAATTTTTCAGGTTTTATTAGCTGTTACATATGATGTGTAAAATACTGTTTTTATTACAACTGTGGACTGAAAATTTTTCCATAGCAGTGCATCTCCACTTATAATGTTGGAGTCGGTGGAAAAATATGGTTCATATTAGAAAAATTCTGCAGTACAGACAGTCTGAAAAATTTTGTAGTACCAGGGCATGCTGTATATGGCAGATGTATTATGCAATGTGTTTTGTGTTAAATAGAGAAGGAAAGATGTTCACGTTCCTTGAGATTCTACTATAGCCATTTCCAGTATAATTGCACATAGAACTTGAACACTGCAAATATGGGAATGCACTTAATTTAGTAGAAAACATTTAAATGTATAGTTTTTTACTTTAAGGTTAAAGCAGAGCAAAAACAGAAAGCTGAAGAAAACTTCAATGAATGGAAACTGCTGAAAAACAAACAAAGACAACAAGGGAAGCAACAACAGGGACAAAAGAAGTTAGAAAATAAAGCTGCAGAAGATTTCAGGTGATAAATACATGTTAACAAATTATAATTCAGAAGCAACATTTAACCATCAACAGAAGGCTGACAATTCTTAGCATACATAGCCTATAACAATAGATGTCATTGAGAGGACTCAAGCTTCTTTGCTACAAATCTGTTAATCAAACCCTTTGAGCAAGAGTGTGCAATGTTAGCAGAATGTGAACTACACTTGAAAGTATGAAGTTCATTATGAATCAGTTTAAGCTTTCATCCTCAGGGGCATAAATTATGATTATATTATGTGCTAAATTTCCAAGAATCAAAGCAATAATCTTGGCTGTACTTCAGTTTCATTTTTGTTTAATTTATTGGGTTTGGGGAGTTACTTTTCTTTGTATCTGTTAAAGAATAAAAATATTTATGATGTGAACTTATTTTTGAAACTGCTATTATAATTTCACAGTCAAAATATAGGATTCATAAGCTGGATGCAGTTCACAGGCATAGGCTGTCCATACCTACCTTAAAAGTTGTTAAAATGAGAATCTACTGGAGTAAAATTGATTTAGTTATGTCATTCAATACAAGTTACATAACTGCATGCCAGAAGTTTTATCAGAATCATTCATAAATATGTCTGTTTCAATGTTACCTGTACTTTAATGTCATTCATGTTGTTTTATTGACAGGTTAACAGATGGAACTAAAGTAAGACGAAACCAGGAGGAAGTGTTCCTTGTTTGGAAGAAAGAGAAAGATAAACTACTCAGACAGAGAAAATTAAAGCAAAAAATTCAAAAGGAAACTGTGAAACCAGATAATGATAAGAATGCTGCTGCAGAAATGGTGGGTTACATTCTATTGAAGCTGATGTATCCCATATAGCTGGCAGAATCCAAATTTCAAAGGAAATGATATTAAGAAATTTCAATTTCGATATTACACTTCCATCTCGTCCTTGGCCTTCCAAGTGTGCACATTCCAAGCTGTCCCCCCCCACCGAACTGCCAAAACTGGGAATTTTAACCATATATCGCAGAAAAATTGTGGGACATCATGTCACTACTTAACAAGTATGAAACTTGACATCTGACATGAAATTTGTTTGGAAGATAAGCCTTCGTATTTCTTTCATTCTGACACAATGCAAGTCCAAAATGACACAATTATCAAGGAACCCAGATTATAATGGGCTGGTTGGTCTGTAGACTGTGTACAAATGTGGTATCAACTGTATATGTTATTTGGTACCAGTGAAATAGAAGTATCACCAGTATGTCAAGGTGTCATCATGCATAACATATATACACAGTAAGTCCAAATTATAGAAGTGCTACTGCGTATATGTTCAGGGAAGTTATAAAATTAACTTCACATGTGTCTTTAGGCAGTACAACTTTATTTTGAAATCGAGATTGCATATCTATATAAATAAAAATGTAAATGTTCGTTTGTTCAAAGTCTTAAATTCCTGAAAGTTCTTCACCGATTGCTTTGAAATTTTGACACAAGATTGCATTCAAATAAGCGCGTGTTTTTATATACCTATTGTATAGATGTCACACCTGTGACAGGTAAAAACATGTCACATGTTCGGAATCCAGGAGTCACTTCCATAGTAACGCTAGAACAGACCATTGCATAGGTAGCGACAATAGCGGTATTGTAGCCCCAACAGTTGGCAGTTGCCTAGGAAGTAACAATAGTGATACTGTAATCCCAACAGTGAGCTGTTGTGTCGAGAACATAGAATCTCCACGGTTACGACGAATACACGGAGCTTTCCCGCAGAGACAACGCAATAACAATGGGTCGTGTAGGAATCGCGGAATCACCAAGGCAGTGTTTCCCCGGTGATAGACAACAGAAGGCATTGTATAGCAACCGCCGAGATATAAATAGCCCAGCTTCGACAAGGAGCAGTCTGTCTGAAATTAACCGCTGAAGGAGGCAGTCTGAAATTAACCACCAAAGAAGTTAGTCTGGTATTGCGAGATGCAGTTGTAAATGATGGTAATACAACTAACGTTGGAAGACTAACCATTTTGCCATCTTCATATACAGGCAGTCCACGTCATATGCATGAGTACGCTCAAGATGCAATTGCATATGTTTGTCACTATGGGCGTCCAGACCTATTCATTACATTCACATGCAATCCAGCTTGGATACAACAGCTCCTACTTCCTGGGCAATCGCTGGTGGATAGGCATGACATCACAGAACGTGTTTTCAGACAGAAGCTGAAATCGCTGATGGATTTCATGGTAAAACATGAAGTGTTTTGGTCTGTGCGCTGCTGGATGTACTCAATGGAATGGCAAAAAAGAGGATTGCCACACGCACATATACTAATCTGGCTCTATAACAAAATCACTTCAAACGAAATTGACGATGTAATATGCGCTGAAATACCCGATGCCGACATCGATAAGGATTTTCATGAAGGAAAATTCCAATATGTACATGGATTTCACAGCAGAAATCTACAACGAAGCGTTGATAATGATTGAAGATTTGTGCTTAGAAATCGCGAACAAAGTTCTCAATCAACTGGCAATGCCATCACCGAATTGATCTGCCGCTGCTTTGTTCAATGTAGAATTGCGTCGTGAACAAAATTACAACACGGGTGATCTTTTGTTGTATGTGCAATCAAATATTCCTAAGCTAACGCTTGAGCAAAAAGGCATTTACACTCAAATAATGCAAACTGTCAATAATGGGGTTGCAGAAATCTTCTTAGATGCGCCAGGAGGAACTGGTAAAACGTTCCTAATTAGATTGATTCTGGCAGCAATTCGATCCCAAAATGACATAGCCTTAGCTCTTGCGTCTTCCAGAATAGCTGCGACATTGCTACCAGGTGGAAGAACTGCTCATTCTGCTTTGAAATTGCCATTGAACATGCAATTCATTGAAACTCCCACGTGCAACATTTCCAAAGCATCAGGCATGGGAAAGGTATTGCAGAACTGCAAACTTATTGTTTGGGATGAATGCACAATGGCACACAAAAAATCGCTCGAGGCTCTTCATCGATCTTTGAAAGATTTGCATGAAAACATCAGACCATTTGGGAACACATTAATATTGCTTGCAGGAGATTTCTGGCAAACATTACCTGTAATTCCTCAATCGACACCAACGGACGAAATAAATGCTTGCCTGAAATACTCTACTTTGTGGCAACACGTAAAGATGTTAAAATTAACTAAAAATATGTGTGTTCAGCTGCAAAACGATCGATCAGCTGAGATATTCTCACATCAATTGCTGGAAATTGGGAACGGAAAGGTGCTCGTTGATCTGGCCTCAGGACAAATTTCATTGCCTCATAACTTCTGTAATTTAGTGACATCAAAAGAAGAATTGGTTGAAAAAGTATTTCCTAATATTCAAATCAATTATAAGAATCATGATTGGCTGAGTGAACGAGCTATTCTTGTGGCCAAGAACAAAGACGTCTGTGAACTTAACAATATCACTCAGTCTAACATTCAATGCGAGGCAGTCACATACAAGTCCGTTGACACTTGTGGAAGCAGATGAAGCAGTTAATTATCCAACAGAATTTTTTAATTCACTTGATCTGCCAGGGATGCCACCGCACGTACTGCAATTGAAAATAGGCGTGCCAATTATCATGTTGCGAAATATCAACCAGCCAAAGCTTTGTAACGGCACGCGGCTTGTTCTAAAAAAATTATTGAGCAACTTCGTAGAAGCAACAATCTTGACAGGACCTTTCAAAGGTGAAGATGTCCTCATTCCTCGCATTCCTTGATTCCAACGGATGTGCCATTTCAATTTAAGAGATTGCAATTCCCAATTCAATTGGCGTTTGCATTCACCATCAACAAAGCTCAGGGCCAATGTTTAGAATTGTGCGGTTAAGATCTAGACACGGGTTGCTTCTCACATGGACAATTATATGTTGCGTGTTCTAGAGTCGGCAAACCAGACAATCTCTATATCTGCACAGACAATGGAACAACAAAAAATATTGTATACCCACAAGCGTTGCGAAATTAAACATATTAGAAACGTGCGCTTTCTCTTTTCTTTCTTTTCCATTTAACCAGACTGAGCCACAGCAACGCGTGGCCGGGTACCACTAGTAATAAAATAAATTTACTTTTAATCATGTAAAACTGTTCACATAAATGTAGAAAATTGTAGGTTACCTTTCTGCATATCTACTCTCTTGTGGCTGATTTTCTATATTTAGAATGCTTTGACTTTAAATCTTTCTTAAAATGGCCTTGATGTTTCACATGAAGCCTTCATGTATCTGCAGTCATATATGCTAATGCTGATTTCAGCAACGTGATTACCAAAGTCATGCACAAACAAAAAAGTCCAATTTACCATGTTAGCCAAATTAGCAAGGCTTCACTGTACAAGAAAGAAAAACAGAGGCTTTAATTTATGCTATTAAGTATATGTTGATGTCTCATCACCAGAATGCAGGGCAAAATCGTAAAGATAGCTAAAGATGTTTTAAAATGTGGCAAACTTGAAATATTTTGGAATGATGGTAAAAAAATCTGAGAAAATTAAGAAGAGTTAAATTCAGGTAATGCTTGCTACTATTCTGTTCAGAACCTTGTGTCTTCTTGAATGCTGCCCAAAAACGTAAAGATGAAAATATACAAAACTATAATTTTTCCTGTAGTTTTTATATTGGTGTGAAAATTTGTGGCATTAAGGAAGAACCTAGTCTGAACGTATTTGAGAACTGGATGCTGAGGAGAGTACTTGGACTGAAGAGGGTTCAAATAATATGAGGCTGGAGAGACTTTTATAACAATGAACTTCATAATTTGTACTCTTCGCCAGATATAATTGGAATGATCGAGTCAAGGAGGGTGAGAGAGACAGGGCATGCAGCACTCATATAAGCAAAGAGGAATGCATATAGGTATTTTGGTGGGAAATCCAGAAAGGAGACCACTAGGAAGGCCAAGATGTAGGTGTGAGTAAAGAATTTATAATGGATTTTGAAGAAATAGGATGGGGTGATGTAAACTGAATTCATCTGGCTCAGGCTAGGAACCAGGTGGGCTCTTGTGAATGTGGTAATGAACCTTTGGGTTCCATAGAATCTTGGGAAATTCTTTGAGTAGCTGAACAACTGTTGGCTTCTCAAGGAGGACTTGGCTCATGAAGTTAGTTAATCTGGTAACGAACCATTGAATTTCTCAAGCTTTAGCTTATGAGATCCTAATCACTGTGCTTTTAATTGTGAGAAAGACAAAAGGTACTAATTTCTGTTTGTGTGTTGTGGCCAAGTGTCACTCTTTTATTCCTTTTAATTTCACAGGTACTCTTTGAACTGTTCAAACCCAGAATTAATTCCAAGACTGGAATCCTTTTAGACATGCAGTAAACTCTTTTGGACTGGGGCTGACCCATCACAAGACATCTGATATTACAACACAACGCAGAACAACATATGAGACAAACACTGAAGTAGGATGTGAACCCATAATCCCAGTCTGTGTGCAAGTTTTCAGTTCTGTCACTAATTAATTTTACAGTTTACTGTTGTTTTATGTTCCATGTTTAGACTTTCAATTTATGGAAAAAGCAGGCAGATGAAACTCTGAAAGAAAAAGCACAAGAGGAAAAAAGGAGAAAGCAAGAAGAGGAAGAAGCAAAGAAAGAAAAAGAGAGAGTAAAACGTGAGAGTGCTGAGGCATCATTTTGTGCATGGAAGAAGAAGAAAGATTCTGAGCTCAAGAAGAAAATGATGGAAGACAGGTAAGTTCATATGAATAACCAACCAATGTTTTTCCATGTGTCACATGTGTTTGACTATAAAGTGACTTTCTTTTAATTTCATTCAAGAATGGAGATATTCTTATATTTGGAATCGAAGGTAATGCATTAAAATGTGATTCAATGATAACTTGAAACTGTTCCATATGTTAAATTAAATATTACTAGACTGTTGCAGTACAGTGCAACTTTGATATTTTTTGGCATTTGTAAAAATGTTCATTCTGATAGCTATCAAGAAATGGTTGAAATTCATGATAAGTCCATATCCTAACTTCTGATTGTAGGCCTATATACAACACAGCACTAAGAGTTCAAAGAATATTTCCTCAAATACAGTAATATTTATTATGTTTCATAATGCTGATATGAAAATAACAAAGAATAATTCATCATTTTTATGTGTTTACCTTTATATCAATCAAGAAGTTAAATATTTGCATAGTCACATAATCTGTTTCAGTAAAAGCAGACAACTTATTAGGAGCCAAGTTTTACATGCAAAAGCCATTCCCACTACTTGTTTCATGTCTGCAACGCATGAAGTTAGTTGAACTGACTTATACATACATAGGTTTCATTCTGAAGTCAGTAGAATACTGCTAGAAGTCAAAATATTCTCATACTGATTTGTGACTTTCAAGGTGTGCCATGCTTGTCAGAAGTCATTTAGTCTGTGGGTGCAGAGTGATCTTAATGGTGGCAAGAAATGATTTACCAGTTGAAAAGAAGATGTGATCTAAATGCATTATGCAGTGTGCATTTTGTGAGTGGTATAAGGGTAAATCTGAATGTAAAGGAAATTTCACAGTGTTTTATCTATTTATTCTTGGTTTATTTGATAGCTCAGTTTAGTATAGTGACTAAACTATGAGCTGGATGACCAAGGAGCCAGGATTTGATTCTCTGTAGGGGCAAGAAATTTTTCTCTTCTCCACAGTGTCCAGATTGGCTCTGGGGCTCACCCAGCCTCCTATACAATGGGTACTGGAAGGTGTTTCCCCTGGATGAAGCCGCAGGAGCGTGAAGCTGACCACTCACCTCCATCTAGTGCCAACGTTAAGAATTGTGGAGCTTTACCTCTACTCCCCCAAACCTCAGAGAAATTTACCTTTACTTTGCCTTTATTTGACAGTGCTTTTTTCTGTATCCAGATTATGTAGTATTGAATGGTATTGCATATAGACGGCAAAGGAGAGGAACACAAAGTCAGATCTACACAGTGCAACAGGATGCTGCAATTTAATATTATGAAACAGTGTGTCACATAGTCATCAAACAACTTTAAACTTAACAATGTTCTTATATAAATTTGTGTTCAGTAATTGCCTTCATGTTGTGATATAACCTCATACACCTCAAACGTTGAGAGATGGATTTATTACTTTTATTATTTATTTGTTGATTATTTGCTATGTTTCAATTTATTCCTTCATTGTCTTTCCTCATCCAGACTGGCAGAAGAGCAAAAGAAAAGTGCAAAGTTGATCCGGGAAGCAGAACGCTTGTATGAAGCAGAACAAGTTTTTCAGGAATGGCTGGATCAAGTGGAGGAGAGGCAAAGTAAACAAATAGATTATGTGCAGAAGCAAAAGGAGAAAAATCTACATCAATTTCCATGGAACCCTGGAGGTTCTGTTCACTGGTAGATTATATAGTTATGTATATAGTGAGGATATTTATACAAGAACCATTGAGCCTTATTGTAAGAATGTTTCACTGTAAATAAGTTGATGTTTCACAGAAACTTTTGGAATTTATAATTCAGTATTTTTACATATTCTATGGGGGCATGTGGTAGCATAGTTGATTGAAGCACTATGCTACAAGCCAGAAGGTCACGGGTTCGAGTCATGATGAGGTCATTGCATTTTTTTTCAATTGACATAATCGTTCTAGCCGCACTATGGCCCTGGGGTCGACTCAGCCTCTAATAGAAATGAGTACCAGGAATATTTTTGGGTGTAAAGGGCGGCCGGCGCATAGGGCTGACAACCTTGCTGCCATCTATGAGCCGATTGTCTAGAAAAATATGGGAACCTCAACATCTCACAACCCTATGGGCCTCCAGGTGCTGTTACGGGGATGACTTTACTTTTTATTTTTTACTTATTTCTTTCTTTTACATATTCTGCGTCGGTGTCACTAGTGTCTAATGGCTGCATAGTGCTCTTGATAACACTGTGAAATGTACTGACACCTCTGCTCAGGGTAAGAACTGTATCAGTGATGTTTTTCATGGTCTTTAATAAAAATGGTTTTACAAGAAAATACACGTTCTCTATTTAACTTACACTATTATAAGTCATTGTCACTGGGAACTGCATTTCCAGAGGTGGAGAAAGGCATTGTTTCCATGTATAAAAAATGAGAATGACAACAAATGTTACCAGTATTCAGTTTTGTACAACACTACTGAAGAATTTTAAACCTTCCTAGCTTTTGGTGGTCTGTGGGGAATGGCTAAAGTTGTAAACTGTTGTAACCGGTCATCATTTTTAATAATATACTTTGCCAGATTCATGTATACATAAATGCTTTTTTTTATACAACTATATTTCATATGATTCAGTTGGAATTTTGGGTTTGTAACACTGCATACATTATCACGCATTATAAGATGCCATGGACTGTATGTTAAGTAGCAGGTGATGCAACGTGGCGTGATTTCATATGTAAATTTATAGTCCACGAGTCCCAAATTGTGCTTGTAATGTGTGATGTAAGCCCCAAGAGCAGATAGCTAGGGACTTTACAGAGGTACAAGCAATCATCTTGCTAAATTCCTTGTATGATGTCATGCTAACTGTAGTCTGTCGTCATGTGAAGCTCTTTGTCCAAAAGAGACGTGAACCAGATTCCGAGCGGTGAAGACATGTTCGTGAGTGTCTTGCCTTCACACAAAGAACAAAGGGCTACTTCAGGTCCTAAGTAAAAGTGTAATAACCTATGAAACCATAATGTAAATAAAGTGTAAGTGTTCATAAGTTTGTCATTGGATTTTGTTGACTGCCTTGTTGGAGCCAAGACCCACTTAACGACCCTGTGATAGTCTCATGTTCCCCGATTGGGTGGCGCCCAAGAAAACTACAAAGGTGAGGCTACGTCATTGCCTGCTTTCTGGGAGTCGCTAAAAGGAGATTCACAGCGAGAAGCTATGGCCACCTTTACCCCACAGAGGCCAAGAGAGATTTTCGGTTATACTATCTGTCTGAACAAAATAAAACTGGCATTACTAGCACTTGGTAGCTTCAAAAACCTGTCATGAGCTCCCAAATAATATGGCTAAAGGGCCCTGGTAGAGATATAAGTTTATCAACCCACCAGTGGTTAATGAATTACTTTGAATACTAGGTAAGGACTTCAGGGGTTGAAGCATTTGCCCACCACGTTTTTACTCAGTCACTATCTAGTCCTCAAAAAAAAGACTGGAAATCCACATCTTCTCTCATTTTATTTTTATTGTCATATTCCCAAGATGGACAGGGTGTCTGAGTACAAGCTAAGAGAATGAGTAAGTCCTGTTTGCAGACCATCAGAGTACTGTCCCAGACAAACATAGAGCAAACAGTCAGTATGGAATGACATACTAGTGTAAGCACTTGAAAAGTGCTCTAGAAACAGTATGTAGACTATGAAAATCAAACTCAAACAGTATGTAGGATTTAAGTTTCTCACAACAACAGTTATGAAAAGTTCTCTCGTCAGCGTCAAAATGCATAACAATATTTATGCTAAAACTTGTCATAGAAACACACACTAATAAAACATCATTTGGAGGAGGAGGAGGACATAATTGTACTGGCAGTGATAAAAACTGTGTCATTTCTTTGCTGCATAATCTTTTGAAGATTAGTCAACATTTCAGAGGAATATGTTACCTGAAACTTCAAGGCTGAAGAGCGAGCGAAGTGTTTCTTGCTACCTGCTTCACCCTGGTTTCTTGCATGGCTTATTCTTCATCCTTGAACGTGTAGGTAACATGTTCATCCAAAACATCAATTGACTTTCAGCGGAATACACTGCATTATATCCCAAAGTTAAAAGTGCCTCAACCAACAATGCTACTGTGTGCCCCCACTAATGAGGCTTGCAGAAAGTAATTAATATGTGAGAAAGCCTTATTAGCAGAGTTGCAGTAGTGAACTACATCTAAGCACAGTTGGTCCAGAAGTACTTCTGTCACAAACATTTTTTACACAACTGTTCCTGTTCCACAAAATGACTAACATGATGCATAACCACCTGAGTTACATAGTGTCCATGTTCCTAACAAAGCTGACTTACAGTGTACCACTTCTCAAGATACACAGCCCCCCACGCTCACGAGAAAGCCTGACCCAAAGTTAGCAACAACCTGACTTGCACAGTATACGTGTTCTAGAATAAGTAGTGGCTTACATTAGAAAATTGTTACTTGGTGGAACGGGTGAAGATTACTTCATCATATTCACCACAAACTTGCATTATGAGCATCTAACTAGTAAGTATCATACTGAAGTTAAAAGTGTTACTGAAACGCAGAAATGACCTGAGTATCACAGCTATATCATTCTAGTCCTTATGCCGACTAAATCCAAGAACGTTTGTTTCAGGAATAAAGAGGCTTACCTTGCCACAAAGCAAAAGACTTCTTATGCTTCCCTGTTGTGCATCCAACAGAATTAAAAGTTGTTTGCCCATTCTTTTCCACACAACAAGGGCTGTCTGATCACAGCAACTCAAGATGACCCAAAATGAAACTCAATTTCTAGCATAACATGGTCTCATTTGACATCACAAACTGACACATGGTAGATCTTGCTTATCATCGAGACATTGGACAGAAAGGCCAAATGGCTGTTTGCACAGAAAGACATACTCGGCTGCAGAAATGACATATGGATCAGGTCAGTGAGAAGGAACCACAATACTCAGTTTTGTCAATGATAGAAGATAGGAGTGATGACGCTGATATGGGGAGACAGAAATTACGAGATAAGCTAGAAAGTTTCGGAATCTGATAATGCAAATAACGGCTCATGGTGAAGCATTGAAGCACTGTGAAGGGTCACAAATCACCTGAGAAACTTAGAAATACAGAAGAAAAGTAGGAACGGGAAATCTGACATAATGAGCTTGCATAAAACTAAGTGGAAGGTTACTAGACTTAAGTTTTGCGCATTTCCATGTTTGTAATTATTAAACACTTTTTATGCATAACTTTGGGATATTTATGATCTATCGCTATGCAAAATTTCATATTCTACCTCTGCTGGTTTGGTAACTATAATCATCAAACCAAATATGAGATTTCACCAGGCCTCTGTGTTGTTTCACTCAATAAAATGACCTTAAAAAAGGCATATTGTTTTAAATCTGTGCCTATTTGATGGGCCCCAGAGCCGGTCTCGACACACACAAGAGAAAAATCTGTTCTTGATGGAAAATGAATCCCGTCTGTTCTGCCCGCAGCTCATTCCTATACCGAATTAGCTATCCGAGTTCCTAAAAGAACTGTTGAAATTGTAATTTCTTAGATTTTAATTATTATATTTTCAGTTAAAATACGGGATCGGAAGATGAAATATCCTGATGAATGTGCATTTCCGGCGTTTATACACCCCACTTTTGTGACTTCAGTACTTAAGCAACCCACTTCGCTGTCTGACATGACACGTTCTGCAACTATCTACCACTTTTTATGACCAGTGAGAACAAATCTGTGGGAAAATTAATAATAAAATCCAGCGCAGCTTTCTTTTCGTGAAAACGCCCCGTCACTGAGACGTAGGTCTCTGAAATGTCCCTGCTGAAAATTTCAGTCACGCTTAATATTTTAACGACAAATATTTACAAAATTCTGTCCAGTCAGTCGTGACATGACAACATGTAGACTATACAGTAATTATACAAGTAGCAACAAATTAGAAGTAAGTGACTTTATAATGAAGTAAATAAGTCCTTTTCAATAGTTTTTATTTTAACATTTATCGGAGTGACACTGTGAAGGTCAGATAAAGCACGTGCTTTAAAATACGTGTAGACGCACTCATCCATGTAAAAGTGTAATTTTCATGCCAGTTCCCTCTTCCCAAAGCAATTAGCGATGGAAGTTTGTCTTTGTAATGACTCCCATCAGAGCGATAAACAAACAGAGCGGTAGAGTTTTTGGTGCTATTCTAGTTTTTAATATGCATTCGAAATCCTGCGGACCGCCTAAAAAAATCGCTCCATCCGTATGTTTGTCTACATGCATGAAACTCGCGGAAGTTGCTGAACCAGTTCTCATTAAATTTGGTATTTGGGAGCTTTAATAAATGTTTCTTACTCATTCAACCTTTAAATAAAATAGGATAATAACGGTCACTTATGTACATAACTGCACACATTTCTGCTCGCAACTCGAGTGTAACTGGTCAAGTGCTCAGTGGATGGAAATGTTGCGAACAAACGTTTTTATTCGCAGTGTACTTTACCGTAAGTCTCAGGCTCTCGGTTTAATTAGAAAGAATGGACCTAATGCACCTTGATTGCTACACTATGCATGTGTTTCCAAACTCGTTTAGTATAAACATACAGAAGCGGTATTATCGACCTTGCCTGTTCATAAACAACATGACACTTCTTTAAGTACGTATCCGATACTGACCCGCAGACGCGACAAAACTACTTTCCTACCTACTGCAATTCCATCGGTCTGCTGAAGAGAAACTTCGGTATAATTCGCTTTCGCAACTTGGAGAAATGCCAAGTCACCGGAACTTTGTTGGATTTCTGGAAATATCTGTATGATTCTCGTTTACAACATTGGGAAATACCTTATTTACTTACTTACTCATGGAACTGAGCCCTTCTGGAGGAGCCTCCAATTCTGCAGCTACCTAAGAATTTGCCAGCATTTTATGGAACCCGAAGGTTCATTACCGTGTTCACAAGAACCCTCCACTGGTCCATATCCTGAGCCAGATCTATCAATCCATACCATCCCAAACTCTCTCTCTAAGATCCATTCTAATATTGTCCACCCACCTATGCCTTGGTCTTCCTTGTGGTCTCTTTCCTTCTGGTTTTCCCACCAGTATCCTATACGCATTCCTCGTCTACCCCATTCGTGCTACATTGGGAAATACCTAGTCGCCAGAATTTTGTTGGATCTCTGAAGTATTCTTTGAACTTAATTATTATTATTATTATGAAACTGAGTCCACTTGGTACTGCGGCCAATACTGACATACAAGTATTATACCAGCCCAAGATGATAGGTGATGGCGATTTTGGAGAAACTGGTGGAATGAGATTGGCAGCGGAAACAGAAATGCTCGGAGAAAACCTACCTCAGAGCCACTTCGTTCACCACAAATTCCACATGACCAGACCTTGGCTCGAACCCGGGCCGCCGCGGTGGGAAGCCAGACACTAACAACCTGAGCTATGGGACGGCCCTTCCGTTGGACTTAAGTCAAAAGATGCTGAGTTCCAACACTAAAGAATTTTATGACAATTATGTCTCTTGTTAGTTTACGATCAGACATACTACAGTAGAACAGTATGCAAATAAAGACCACTATTTGTCATTTATCAATAGGTGAAACCACATAATTAAGCACACTTCCTCAATCGCTACAAACATGAACTATTTGACTGGCCCGTACCTCACTGGACTTGTTACTGATGAAGAAGAATGCGTGCTCTTGCTGTCATCCTGTCGCTGAATGTAAACACGCGCTATGTCTCACTATGTCTCACTCGTCTCACTGCCCGTCCTCGAATGCAACACCGCTGATGCCGCTGATCCTGCAATGCCTCGACTCATTAGCTTGGCTGACCTGAGGCTCGCTTGCTATCCTTGCTATTTTGCGCTGTTCTCTTCAAAACAGTATCTAATTTGGTTTTTCTTAATTTCCCATCTTGCAGGATGAGACACGCATTGTAGATGGCCCCTGATTTGTTGAAGGAAACGAAAATGATTTCTAAAAGTGGATGCATTGTTCTAGGAGACCTTATGATCGCTTATGATATTGTTTTTAATTTATTTTAATTTCATGAAATCGTGTATAATATGCCGTCTGTTTCTTTAAATACAAGTATACAATTTTTTTTTTCCTTGGCACTACAGCCCCAGTGGGCCTAGGCCTACCTCCATGAACTTCTCCGTTCACTTCTGTTTCTCTAGATCTTACACATTCGGTAGGACTCCTTGGGCGGGTGATCAGCTCGTCGCAAGGCCTCTACCTGTACACAAACACAGAAAAACACACACAAACTAAACATCCATGCCCTGAGTGGGATTCGAATCCACGATCCCGGTTTCCAAGCGAGCGAAGACAGTACATGCCTTAGACCGCTCGGCTACCGTGACCGGCACACATTTTATAGTCTACACCATTTTGGAGAACTCTACAAAATGGTAAAAAGGGTGTGGACTGCACATGACATAAAACAGATAAGCAGTTGTTGCTGATGCAATGTATATTCTTTTCATTGGATATTTACAATTACTGTCACTAGATTATATACTTATAAACAATTAACAAATATACAATAAATAAGATCACACTTTAATTAATAGAGAATATTGGAGGGAGGTAAACTGTTCATTTTTGATAATCCTCTTTTACCCAACAAAATGTTACACAAAATTTATTATGCAATCAGTCTGGGAAGTAACTTTACATACAGATTTTTTTATGTAAAATTAGATACATCGCTACAAAAATTTTAAAATCGCTGTATATTTTAATCCAGGGGATCTGCAAGTAAACAATAAATTTCACAAAGAACAAACATAGAGGTGGATATAGAGAATTACATTTCAGAAATATATAAGAATTAATATACATATATATATCTACACGTAAGTTCCGTACCATGCTTTCAAAAAATATTTCTCTTCTTAATTACACACATGCTCTTCCAACAAAATCTCTTCCTAGTATACGACTTTAGTGGAATGGATTTTACCTCGTTAGTCAAGTAAACAACTTTAACGACATTGTTACTTCCTGCATAAAGGGACTATGCAGAGAACTTTAAGCATCAAATCTGTAATCCGAAAATTCAACATAAATGAAGCCAGGTACTTTATGCTATTGATGTATGCTGTTTATAACTTAATATCCACAAAGGTGTATTAATATGAACATATTTCTCACTGTACTGACATTAATTATAGCCTGAAACTGATAATCAGGCCTTCAGTACACATTTCAGTGTTCAACAGCTATTCTCCATCTTTCTGTTTGTCTAAGTGTGCAACAAAAGAAAAGTAATATTTGGCAGTTTGAGGGAAAATGAGACTCACATTCAGTATTACGACACAAATGCTGGACGCATAGGCCTGTATGTGTACAGTCTTATTTGAGATCACAATATAACGAATGGGGAAAATTCACGTCAAACCTGACACAAACTTCTGTCATTATTACCCAACCTTGAGAGCACCTCGCTGTTTCTCTAATCTTTTATGCTGTAAGTATACGGACATAGCAAGAAAATGAACCTTTAGGCCGAGCAACGATTTATGTAAACAACAGTGAGTGCAACCTGATCAGGTTAACAATATGCAAGAATTAATATTACACACCGATTTCTTCTCTCTCTGGCTCGTAGTTCCTTGTATGAACTAACTCCATGGAGCAGAGCCGTTAGTGAGAAGCTAATAGTTGCTCAGCTAGTCATGAAATTCCTCACGTTTTATGAAACCGCAAGCTCCATTACTCTGTTCTCAAGAACCGGCCATCGGTCCCTATTCTGAGCAAGATGAATATAGTCCACACACTCCCATCCTACTTCCCAAAGACTCATCCTTCCATCTGTGCCTAGGTTTTCCAAGTAGCCCCTTCTTTCAGGTATTCCGGTCAAAATATTGTAAGCATTTCATTCCTTTCCCATGTTTCATGCCCTGACATCTCATCGTCTTTGTTTTGAGAATCATCACACTAGTTCTTGAAGAGTAAAAATTATGAATATCTATGATATGTAGTTTGGTTCAGCCTACGTCCTCCATTTTAGGTCCAAACATTCTGCTCACCAATCAGTTCTCAGACACTCTCAGTCTATGCTCTTTTCTTTAATATAGGAATCCAAATTTCATATTAATTCATAACAATAGGCGTAATTAACACAAATGTATTGACGTTAGTGTTCAAACCTAACAAAAATATAAGTAAAATTGTCTACGAGTTTACAGTCAAATTTTGGGCTGCCTAAAGAAAGAATGGTGCCCCTGAAGCTGGAGTACTGAATAAGGCGAAGTTCCGGCTCATACGCACGCACAAACACACACATGCACGCTACAATATATATCCCCTGGCCGTAATCAATTTCTCCATGAAATATTAACGCGGAATACTTTCAGCTGTTTCTGTGCCGACCGTCTACGTCAATTTCCACGTAGTTCGCAAACAAATGACGGTGAATTTTAATAGTTCTTGAATGTCTGAGGAAGCTCTGGCCCTTTCTTTCAGGAAAGCCACGACAGGAAGAAGTGGTGAGCTCCACCATTTTAAGACAACTTCGTATGAAGTAGGATCTGACAGTGAAATATAGAAATGGACAGTCATGCCATTTTACAATTTAACGTGTTTGTCAATTGCGTATGGTGCTGTACACGTATGTTGAGATTTTTCTGAAATTTTCAGTTTAACATTCTCACAATTTTATTTTCTTACAAAAGATTATATTATTTTTAACGCACAAATTTGAAGTATCAATAACGTGAAGAAACGTACATCTGTGCCTAAACACCAAGGCGTATAAATAAAGCTTTACGAATTCTAGACATTGCCACAAGATGGAGCTAGGTGCTCCGGCCGTTTGGCGGACTGGCGGTTGTGAATTTTCCAGAGTCTGTCTGGATATGGCGGAGAAGAAAGAAACATTTGTCGGAAATCGAATAACGGCTATGAAATTCCTTTACTTACTTCGATATTCTGTCTCGCAAATTCCATCAACGTGTATGTAGGTAGTTGTTTGATTGACTGCTCGTGTTTGTAATATTTTTTACGTTGCAATATGAAGATGTCATATTATAAACTGGGGTATATTTTTAAGAAAGGACTGAGGTATTGGGTTAAGTAAAGGGCAGTGCCGTAGCTGAGGAAGTTAGACACTGGCTTCTCATGGCAGAGAGTCGGGTTCTATCCAGAATGACTTTCTGCGAGGTTCGTGATGGACGATGTCGCAGTGTTACATTTTTTTTCCTCAGAAATTAAATATTGTTGGAAATCTCCTAGAAATATACTGGTATAGTAAAAAGTTCGCCATGATCGAGTATGGCAATAAGTTAAGCAGAAAATCAACTACGTCAGCAATTCAGTGTTTTAGAAACATTACCATGTTGGGTAAACATTATGACATGTTCTTGACAAAATGCTTACTTCATCATGTACATAATGTTTAAGGTTATACAAAATATTTATGCCACATTTATACGTTGGCTTATAATCTATCTTCATACAAAATTCCAGCTTCATCAGTTCATTACTTGCAGCCACATAATCGAAAGTTCAATACATATTCTGCAAATCTGTCCCAGGTATGTTGTTGCACCAGAGTGTATAACAATTGTATTTTATGGAGCTCAGTTATTTTCCAACTATTGCCACATTTCAGTACCGTGCATAAGTGACGCTAATTCTGTTGTTTTAGAAATTCTTATGGTCTTTATGTTGCTATTTTAATGCCAGGAAATTAAACAGTAGACCTTACAACCACTTCCTAGTGGCACGATGTTCATATCAAGTTTAATGGAAGTCCATCTATTGGTTCAAAGGTTACGAGAGAAGGAGACACGCTGATATGACTGTCCTATGAGCATAAGCTTACTTTATGCACTCAGAAAAAATGGGCTGGAAATCATATGATGTATATCTAAATAAAATGTCCTCTGCCATGTCAGATATTTCAAAGAATTTAAATTAATTTTTGTGATAACTCCCTTATATACATGTATCCACTCTGGTTGTTTGACTTATCTCGATAAGATTCTAAGGGAATGACGTAGAATGGTTTGATTTGGTTTGTTGTTTAACGACGCTATCAGTAACTAGACCCTATAGCGTCAATGATAGAATTAAGATTGAATACGGAGAGTTGATGGAGTGAGAATTGGCGGGAAAAACCGAAGTAGTTGGAAAAAATCTTCCCCAGTGACACTTTGACCACCACAAATCCCATATGACCTCACTGGAATCGAGCCCGGGCCGCCGCGGTGGCAAGCTGGAGACTGAGCTATGGCACGGCCAAAATGTTGTGAATTGCGCGTCTTGAGACCTTAAATATCACGTCATGATAAAATGAAACCAATTTGGTCGTGTGAATGTAGAATTATAATGAATAATGCAAAACAATACTTGTCTGGCGATGATCTTTAAGTGTTGTGCATTTAATTTCAGACACTGAAGTTTATCCAAACAGAAATTGATATTCCATGAAGAGGAAAAATTCGGTTTCATACAAACAAAACGTAAAAGCGAACGTTCATATTAAAAAATAAACAATGATATCTTAATTTAAAACACTTTGGTTCGTTCTTACGCAAAGAACATCTTGGCGAGGAAACGTGCGGCAAATGAGCAATAAATTATGAAGTGTTCTATAATGAACAGTAGCAAATGACATTTGTATGCACATAAGAAAGTTATCAGTATACATTCACTAATTTAAAAATATCCGAAATCATGCGGTGTCATATTTCATATTCGACACTCTTGAAGGATGTACTGATTAAAATGGCAAAAATATATCTACAGTTCACTGAACTTTAAAGTCAGTAATTTGAATATTTTAAATCTTTAATTATGTGTCAACAAATACCAGTCTTTAAAAATGCTGAACTCTCTGTCCAATAGATAGAATGGTGAAGTTGTACAGCAATATATTTTGTTGGATAAATATTTCAATTTTATGCAAAATGACCATTCAGCTTTTCTTTTTCATACTGTTATAGTATTATAATTACAACAATAAAATTGACACTGAATCACTGTAAATGTTTAGAGGTACATTACTGTCTTATGGCCACTTCAATCACCCCTTGTCAAATAATACATTAATAATAGCCTTAAAATTTCAAAATTTGCAATGTAGTAAAATTAATATTGTAGTAACTTTTATTCTTGTGATTCAAAATCAAAATAAGACAAGATGTAGAAATCAATGGACGATACTATAACATTTAATAATGAACATATTTTAAACCACAATATTTTAACTCTTTTAACCATTCGATTTATGTAAATAATAATTCATAATTCAGTACTGTACCTACCTAACAGAAAACCCCACTATATCCCCATTGCAAAGAATATTCTGTTAACAGAATTTAGAGAAATGTTCACTGTTCTTTCTGAGGATCATATGGAAAACATGCATACATCATGTGGGACAAATGCAAATTTTGTTAGTGTAGAAATATTTGGTACATATAAAAACCACTGTGCTTTAAAGCTGTGGTTCTTGAACTTTTTGAGTTGGCAGGCTACCCAACAATACACTTCATATTCAAAAACCCCTCACTTCCTTCCATGTTTAAATTATCTGCATATGACCTCAAAACAGAATAAAATAAAATAATTCATGTCAAATATATTAATGCTAGTACCATGTTTAAAATATTTAATAATTGTTAAAATGTATTTTCTTATTTTGATCATGACAAATATGGCTGGATCACCACTACATAACTAACATAGATACTCATATGCACTTTCGAGTCCACAATATTTGTTATATAATACCAGTATTCCAGATATAATGTTTTGTAAAATATTAAAATATTCAATATAATATTTCTTTTTCATTTTTAGGAAGACAGAAATAATCTCTAGGACCCAGTGGTCAGGACTATACTTTAATAACCACTGCTTCAAAGGACTGAGAATCTTTGTTGCTGAACCACTACACGATGAACAAATTTTGTCAATTTAATGAATAAATTCCTGTACCTTCACTTTAAGGCATTAAACTGAGTTAAGAAATTATGTTGAAGTTAATTTCTGTCAAATAAAATTGTTTATTCTTTGATATTATAAATAGAACATGGGTTTCACATGAACATGCCTTTTATATTGACGTATCACATGCAGCCACTTAGAAATGAGCATTTTAATAAAATGACGCATATTTTAATTTTACTTCAACCAGTCGTTTGAACAGAATTCATACACCATATACGAATACAGTGATTTTCCTCTTTGAGTGAAAAGCTGAAAAAAAAAAACAAAGGGATGAAATGTAAGTTTTGAGGTTTTCACGGCGATGACAATGAAGAAAGTCGTCTTCTGGGTTTAGGCACCGTGTATTCTTCGTTTTGGCCGACGTTTCGGAGGAACGTAGCGCCTCCATCTTCAGAGCAGTTGAATGGCTTGGAATGCGGAGAGCAGTAGCTGTGTAGCAGTAGCAGCAGCAGTAGCTACTGCTCTCCGCATTCCAAGCCATTCAACTGCTCTGAAGATGGAGGCGCTACGTTCCTCCGAAACGTCGGCCAAAACGAAGAATACACGGTGCCTAAACCCAGAAGACGACTTTCTTCAACTGGATGAAATATTTTGTATAGGTACGTAGAATAACAAAATGTCTCAAATTTTATAAAATTACAGGAATTTAATACTTTCAAAAATATGTATTCTGGAGGTCACTCTTGTATTTAAATATTACAAGAGCAAAATTAATAAAAAAGAACCTCATCCTCATTCCAGTTGTCTGTGCCTGGGGAATTTTCCAAACAATTCAGTTCTTCTTCTGGGCATTTAAAATATGTAACAACCGACTGTCACAAGTAAAGTAAAAAGTAAAGCTATCCCTGTAACAGACCGTGAAGGCCCATAGGGTTGTCAGACGTTGAGGGTCCCCCATTACCTAGACAATCGGCTCAAAGATGGCGGTAAGGTTGTCAGCCTTACGCGCCGGCCGCGCTTTAATCCCCAGGAAAACTATTTAATTCATTCCTGGTACTCATTTCTGTTAGAGGCTGAGTCGACTCCAGGGCCATAGTGCGGCCGGAAGGATTAGGTCAATTGAAAAAATCCAATTACCTAATCGGGACTTGAACCCGCGACCTTCTGGCTTGTAACATAGTGCCTCACAAGACATATAAAAAATCAGTAGATTTAATGTTTAGTCTTGTTGTAGTGAGGTGTATATAAGTTCATTATAAAGGCAAATTAATAGTCGACTTTCAATAATAAACAAGCTAATAGAGAGAGACTTTATATTAGAATAATTTACGTTTCTTAAGAAATATTATTAATTTTTTTATTGCCAGTAGGGTGGGACTAAGTCCCTTGTACTGCGGTCCCTTCTGGCCTATTGTACCAGCTCCAGATGATAGGTGTGGGTGATTGTGGAGCAATTGGTGGAATGAAGATTGGCAGGGGAAACCGAAGTACTAGGAGAAAACCTGCCCCAGCGCCACTTTGTTCACCACAAATCGCGCTTGACCAGACCCGAGATCGAACCCGGGCCGCCGCGGTGGGAAGCCAGCGACTAACTGCTTGAGCTATGGCGCAGCCTTTAAGAAATATTAAGAACAAAATTTAAATATGTGAAACAACCATTATTAATTCATAATCTTATGGAGCTGACTGCTTTACTGACCAGTGATGTATCTGTATCCTGAAGTGTGAAAGATGTTCAAGTGCCTGGTTTATGTAAATTTTAGAGAATATTCGATCCTCATGTAGAATCTAGTCACTAGTTGCAATCATTTAATCTTGTATGATGTTATACCTTACAGCTTGTAAATGGTCACAGAGTTTTAAAATTCATTGTTTTAATTTGTGATTCAAAATTAATATAAAAATCCAAATAATGATCTTGAGCAGGTATCTGATCTCACTGTTCATTGGCTTTAAAATTCAAGCTTAAAACCCAGAATCATTATTGAATTTTTGAACCAAGTAATCATGAGAACTAAAATGCCTTATGAGGGACTTCCTTCCTCTTCCCTTCTCCTCTAGCCCTCTTTTTTAGTTTATCCACTCCTTCCTGCACTTGTTCATTTCTTTCCTCATTTCTCTCCTTATTCTGTTCCTTGTATCAGCCTCTGTTAATGTTGGATCTTTCCCCCTCATTCTCCCTGCCATGGAACTGGCCTATTGGGGCCGTTATACTCTGCCTCTCTTGCCTTCCTTTCTACTTCCCACTAGTTCATTCATACCCACTCACCATTCTTTTTATTTTTACTGATTTCCTAAGAGCTCCAGTCCCCAGCCCTATATCAGTACCACTTTTCTATGTTCAACTTATTTTTCTACACTGAAGATGCAGACAACACGTTCTTCTGAAATTCCGGTGAAAACCCACCAGTCTGCATAACATCATATTTCAGAATAAAGTGATCAGCTGATGTCCTATAACCATGTATCTCAACAAATTTTATGTCATAAAAGATATGATCCATATTTCCTGGCAGGGATAAGATTTAAATTTTCTCCATAAGGTTCACAACCACTCTGGGGCCTACCTAGTCCCCTCTTCAATGGGTACCAGGGGTTGTTTCCCTCGGAGTGAAGCGGCCGGGGCGTGAAATGGACCACTCATGTCCAGCAATTGATGAGTTCAAGAATGGTGGAGCTATGCCTTTACTCCCCCATATGTTTTCATGGCATGGTGCTTAATTAATTAAGCACAAGGAGAACTTTGCCTTTTATAAAGGTTGAACAGAATTCTCTGTCCCTCAGCCACCTTCTATATGCCCTCAAGATCCAATATTATCCTCAATATATCCAAACACAGGATTACTGAGTCTATCATGATGTGTCCCAGCTGCAAAGCGGACCAGAGGACGAGGAGGAGTGGTAGTTGCCAAATTAGAAGGAGAAAGGGAGAAGATACCAATTGATATGCCAAGTGTTATGGCAAGATACTGCCTAAGCTGAGCTACTGTACGGCTCATACTATTCACTTGTTTCAACAGTGAATATAGACACAAAGTCAATCAGTACAAATGTGGCCATAAACTGATTACCACTGCTCCACCGAAATGATAACAGGTCCTTGAACATTTCTAGCAGAGTAGACCCTCACGTCTTATTTCATGATCTTCATGTCATAGAAACGTAACCTAAAACAAATATAAGGAATTCTCATACATGGATCGCAGTGGAAATATTTCTATTTCATATTTTGAGCAAAATCAGCAATGAGTACTTTCTAATTATGAAAATGTTCATAAAGTAGCAGACAGGTAAAATGAAATTTCATTAATATTTTGTTCTTAATCACTTACTTACTTGCTTACTTACTTACTTACTTACTCATGGAGCTTAGCCCTTCTTGAAGAAAAGCCAAGAGACCTCCACTGGTACCTATCCTGAGCCAGATCAATCCAATCCATACCATCCCATCCTAATTCTCTAAGATCCATTTTAATATTGTCCACCCACCTACGCCTTGGTCTTCCCAGTGGCTCTTTCCTTCTGACTTTCCTACCAATATCCTATATGCATTCCTCTTCTCCCACCATTCGTGCTACATACCCTGCCCACCTCATCCTCCTTGACTTGATCATTGTAATTATACTTGGAGAAGAATACAAGTTATGACGCAATATCATATATACCTGAGAAATTAAAGAGCAAAAATAATTTTAAAACAATGTGACCTTCTCCACATTCTTTGCTCCCTGAATTATCTTACTCTCACTGGGAACATAGCATAGGATTTTTCAATCAATACTCCTTCACTTGCTGGTGGCAGAATTTTATGCTGAATTACTGAAGACCTTCAAAGGCTGAGTCATCTAATGTGTGCAGCCAGTTAAAGATCATCATGTTGCGCTCATATTTAGACAGGGGCTTCCCCCTTTCCCTTTCAACGTCTCTAATTGTCAGTGGTAAGTTCTTGTTGGCCCTTTGCTTTACAACACGAAGCACTGCAGCGCTGGTAGCAGAGGTTGGAACTGAAATACTTGTACTGGGAGTAGAACCAGGGACCGTGAGATGAGTGGCACCAGAACCAATGGGAGCAGTTGTTGTCACACCCCCTGCAGAGCTGCTGGCATTGTTGACATTTGCAGCAGCTGTAGCAGCTGTCACTTCAAGTCGGTCTAGATTGAATTCACTTTGGGATAACCGTTCAAGAGCCTTGTATGTTGTCAGGAGACGCCTTCGGATGTAATTCTGACGAACCTGTGAATACAAATTTGAGGTTCTCATTGTGATGTCTATGAAGATTACTGCCTTCAGAGAAGTGTCCTGCGTCTGTCTGCAAGGTACAGGAACTCTTTCTAATTATCTATCAGATTACACAGGGTCACATCTTAGATGACAGTATGTTGTAACATTCTGTAAAACTGTAAATTCAATATAAAATTATGGCATGATGGCAAATGTTTGAGTTTAGATGTGGAATCTGCAGAGACCTATCAGAATTAAGATCAAATTTAGTCTTGTTTTGCACCCTTAACTTTGCTAAGTAGTAGAACCAATCAGCTGAAAGAAAGGAATGACTCATAAATGACACGAAATATATTACCTTTTTATTGACGGATCTAATAAGATCAGCAGCGGTGAAAGCTGGGGGAGTGCTGACAGCAGGAGCCGTAGTGTTATGCCCTCCGTGGGGCGACGGGAGCTGCGAGGTGGAGGCTACATCTCCGACAGCTACCCACGTGGAGCAGGAACGAGAGGCATGGTCAAGTCGAGGATGGTCCAGCAGGTATCCCGATCTCTGGACAGAGCTGAGGGCCAACTCCGACACAGCACACCGCGGGGGCGGTTGGTGGGGTGTCTCTTCGGGCGATGGCAGCTGGCTGATGTCGCTCGTGCTAAAACTCTTCTGCAGACCGAGAGCAGAGGAGAGCACAGCACAGCTCCGTATCAGGTCGTTCTCCTCCTCAAACCAAAGGATCTCTGGGATGTCAGCTGGCCTGCAATAATTGAAGTTCTATACCTCACACTATCCACTAAACAAAGGTTGATGCTGATCATGTTTCGGGATGAAAGAACCATGTAGAAATAGGCTATGTTATTGATGTTTCGACGAATTTTCACCTCTCCATCTTCAAACAAAACGGACTATATAAGCCCAAGTCGCTTCACAATTGACGATCAGTCAGCATGTCTTTGTGTAGAATCCCATTTTGGAACTCACGACCAGATTTCAAGCTACATTCCAAAAGTTTCCTTCTTCATCATCTGGGGTGTTCCTTCTCACAAAAGGATGGGTCTGCCATTTGTCGAATAACGACATACACAAACATATACATACATACGTATATGCATATGATCTCTTTTGTACATTAATCTCATCCATTAATATAGAAATAGAATTGTTGCCACGTATGAACTACCAATTTGAGGGCGCGTGCACAATCCGTTCCGCGGTGAGTCACCGTTGATTTCCATGTAGCAATGTCAGGAAATTTCGGCTTCAAGTTTCCACAGCAGTGAATATCCTTATTGTGGTCTTCTGGATTAAGGCACTTGTCATAAGTTCTTAGGTAGTTACTCCTTCGCGGCTTCCTGTCCTGAAACTCTTACTCTTTTCAGGGCCTACGGTTCCACTGTTATCCCGCCTGAGGCCCGTAACCTCTTCCCATTCCTGACTCTACTGGCGACTCCTGACCCACGTGACTCTTATTCTTCCCACTTCTCCTATACAATCTACAACCTTCTCGATATGTCTCAGAATGTTATTAAAATATTAAATAACTCTGCGGTAAGATATCCCTTTTGGTGGCCATATTGGATATTTGAGATCTAGCTGATTAATTTCGTGACAGGAGGCGACGTTCCGACGCCGTGGCGAAGAAGCAGATAAACTTCGTCGATAGAACGAGAAGCTAAGTTCAGACAATCGGAACGATGATATCGTACCAACTCGTCCAAGAACGTCAGGAGTGACAGATGCACTAGCTTCGCTGATTCACTGTTTCAGGTGTTGAATGTTGTGAATATGAACACTGTAGACGATTTGCTTCACATAGCACCAGAAATAAAAATCCAGGGGTGTCAGGTCCGGAGAGAGTGGGGACCACCGCTTCCATCTGCCCCTCCCAATTCAGCGCCGTGGAAATATCTCATCAAGAAATTCCGTAACAATGTTGACAGAAGCACCCTCTTGCTGAAAGTAAAACGTAGACTTTTTTTCAAAACTCTATGAAAATTTGTTTTCGAAAGTCCTACGTAATTCTCGAGCACATTTACACACTGATTTCTTCGGACTGCGGATAAAACTATTTTGATATTTCCCATCGACTTGTCACTAGCGGATGGTCTTCCAGAACTTTGTTTGACCAGTAGGCTTCCCGTCTCTTTCAGATGTCTATCCCAACGACGATTGCTATTTTCGTATGGTTGTTCTTCGTTAAATACATGACGGTATTCACGTCGCACTTGAGTCACAGATTCAAATTTTGCAATCCACAAAACACGCTGAACTTTCCTATTAACCGTCGCCATCTTGTGTAAATCACTCTGCGAATGAGAGTCACCTTGGATACGATACGCGCGCAAGTGCTTGCCCTCTCTCCCTCCCCGCAACTATCACCAGTTCCACCTGTTTCATATGTCTGTCGTGTTTCATTCCAACAATCTAATCACTTGAAACCCCACCGTGACTTTGGGGACAAAGTGTATAATAAAATTATATCGTAGTCCAGACGTTAACAAGCTTGATATGCTATACTATATTGTACGTACTTTTTGTACATTTGGCCCTTTATATAGAAGTCGATGACATTTAGTTCGAGCCAAATATACACTCAAGTACAGACGATCCGATGTAGCTTAATCAATATTATAACTACCTAAGTAACAGACGAGCCGGTCAGGGTAACAGAGCGGTCTAAGGCATGCACTATCTTTGTTCGCTAGGAAGCCGGGATCGTGGGTTCGAATCCCACTCTCTGCATGGATGTTCAGTGTTTGTGTGTATGTGTGTGTGTGCGTTTTTCTGTTTGTATACAGGTAAGAGGTCTTGCGACGAGCTCATCACCCGTCCAAGGAGTACTACCGATCTAGTAAACCGAAGTGTAACGGAGAGTTTCATGGAGTTAGGCCAAGGCCAAAATCGGGGCTGTAGCGCCAAAGAAAAAATAAAGTAATGGAAGACGGGGGATTCGAGTTCCGATAAAACTATATCCATTCGCCACCACGTCCGGACTGGCACTGCTAAGTTAATATTCCTCTATAATGAAACTTAACATTCTATTTTGGAACCGAATACATGTTTAGCTTTTGGTTTCATGGAAATAGCCACTGCGCCGTTTGAACCAGGTTTGTGAATGTACCCAAACAAAGCATACCGGCACCTCTGTGCGGACCATTTCTTACATGTCGGCTCTCAAGAGTTCTTCCAGTGGTGTGTAACAATCGTGACTACTGAGGTTTTGGACGTCGCCCATCCGGTACTCAAAAGAACACGACGCTGGCTCAACATGCCTACGAAGATCATAGGGTAGGTTGGGATGTACCCAGGATTTTGGACATTTAAAGTAACAGCAGTTATAGGAAACATAAAGAATAGGCCCCTATGTCGTGTTTAACTAATCCGATCAGCCAACCCAGTATGAATATTTCTCCCATAGGGATTCCCCTTATCAGCAAAGAGTTGGACAACTTACGGTGAAAATCTGATAGAAATGAAATTAATTGAAAATCTGATAGGCTCTTCATGGGTATCTACTTGTTTTCAGTTCCGGGGTTCAATTTTTGTGCCACCGATGGCACTAGCGGTGGGTGGGTGGGTGGCATAATATCGTACATTTCAACTTCAGTTTACCCTCTGCATTGATATCACTTCGGATTTAGTTACTGTTTTGGCTCGATATATTTATTTTATGCTTCCTCTTCTACCTCTATATGCATTTCCACAATTTACATTGCAAATGTTCCTGTTATCTCTTTGGCAAGCACTGTTGGCAGGTGCATATATGTATGCCCTGACTTTGCGTTCCACTTGGATGCCGTCTATGTGCAACGTCGGTTAGTATTTTCTCGTGTTTTCTCTTTATTGTCACTATATATTTCAGCCTAACTGGTCATCATCATTTGCACAGGTTTTGTGATAAAGAGCCCTACTGCTTACTGTAATGCTGTTCTGCTTTTCTTATGAGGCCAGCGGAGTCCCCATCATGACAACCTATACACATGATGATGGGCGGTTAGGCTGCAATATGCAGTGATCACAAAGAGAAAGCAACGAGAGACTTTTTAACCGACGTTGCACATAGACGGTGTGAAAGCAGAACACAGACAGATCTACGCAGTGCAACAAGACGCTGGAGTTTAATATATATATATATATATATATACTCGTAGATTTAGTTATACTGAGATGGGTTATTCAGTGATTCAGTGATCCTAATGAGCCCAGAAGATGAGGAGCTTTCAACATTTCAAATGAGGACGGACATAGATCAAGCATCCAAAACGTTGTGTTCTGTAGACTATCTGATGATGGATAAAGTCCAAGAACTGGAAAATCCCGAACCTGTCGCTTATGTGAACAGTTATAAGCGTGACTATTGTGACACTCTTTGGCGCTCTATCTGACAAATTTAACAAAACTGGAATTCTACAGTTAATCAAAGCTATCCCTGCAACAGACCGTGAAGATCCATAGGGTTGTGAGACATCGAGGCTTCCACATTTTCTCTAGACGATCGGATCACAGATGGCGGTAAGGTTGTCAGCCTTACGACCAGCCGCCCTTTACCACCCAGGAAGATTCCTGGTACTCATTTCTGTTAAGAGGCTGAGTCGACCCCAGGGCATAATGCTGCTGGAAGGATCAGGTACGTAAACTGAAAAAGTCCAACTCATAATTAAACATTTATAATTTGCGCTAGTCTCATTTTATTGCATAATTATTGTGCACTATAAGTTCTTTCGAGACGTTCTTGTGGTTTTATGGTAATATGTTTGTAGTGATTAACTTATTTATTAATACAAAAACAGCTATAAGTCAAGCACACTTTCTCAATTACACTATTAAATATCCAACTTACTAATTAACGAACTATTTAAATTACTAAACAACCAATAAAAGAATCAAGCTACTGACTAGCTACCTTACAATTCGACTACCCAGTAATTACGGAAATACTTAAGTCATCTCTCCGCTAAGAGACCTAAAGGTTTAACCTTGCTAAGATGATATTCCTCCAGTCCAAATCTCTTCGCTTCCTTATATTCATTCAAACTTGAACTCGCTTCTGTCAGTGGCCCCCTTCTGGCAGGCTTCCGACTACATTATATGTCCACATACATATTCAAGTGTATCTGATTGCGCTGTCAGTACCTCAGGATATACTGCATATCATGGAATGAGAGGACGCTTAATGGATTATGAATTGGAGATATTGTGAAAGGAAGCGGTCGTAATGTATTTACCGATACTCGATATTTTCCTGCAGGTACTGGGAAAAACTGCGAAACACTTCACTCAGGGTAGTCGGTATTTCGGCCAGATCTCGAATAGGCAACCCCGCGAATGTAAATCTGAAGTGCAGTTTTATTGCTTTTTTTTTAAATTAGTTCCCGTTCACAGAGATATTGGGTTTTCGGACTTTATCCATCGTCCTGGTTTTTATAAGATAACTAAGAAAAACATGACGTTTCGGAAACTGGATCTGTTTCGGTCCTCAGGTGAGGGAAAACGCCTGTTCTGTTAGGTCCCTTAGAAAGAGCTAGCAATTAGTTATCTTAAAACCAGGATGATGGATAAAGTCCGAAAACCCAATATCTCTATGTGTTATACACCATCGTCAGAATCCTAGAGTAACTAGTTCCCGTTCGTCGTACAATAAGCTTGTTAGTTTAGCCGCCCCACCAGCTGCTGAGAAATATAATCAATAAATTGTTGTTATGTAATTCCTTCTGTTCCCCTCTTTCTTCGACTCCATTTCCTTGGTTCTTTGTTTCG